ACGAAACGTTTCACTAAAGAAGAACCATCCAGAGGACCTACTGATTTTTTCTTTTTGATTTTTTTCTACCTGGATTACTGAGATGCATCAGGACGTAACGAGTCTTCCACGGTTTCAGAATAAGAGTTGAAGCACGTTTATGTCACAGATGTCACTCTCAGAGTACTTGTTGTGGATTACTTCCAGCTACTGCTGTGCCACGTTTTAGCTCCGTATCCCTAAAATGTTGGCTGAGTTTAAAACACTTCTGTGCTCACAAAAGACACTTGACTGTGGCAGCCATCTTGAATTTAGGTAATCAGTTTGCAGGCAACTCTCCGATAGTTATTTCCTGAAAGTTTCATTAAAATCCATGCAAAAAACAAATAGTTCTCAGAATATGTATTGAGTATCAGCCCCAGCCACTACCACACCAGATTTTAGCATTTAGAGTTATAACCATTTCTGTTTTAGAAAAGTACCATTGACTGTGGCGGCCATCTTGAATTGAGTTTGCTCCAAATATTTCTGAGTTTGTAGACAAACATCCAAGGACCCTGAACCTGTATGTTTTATTAAAACCCATCGAAATATTGACCTAACAGGCAGGTTTGGCTCCAAAAAACCAAAGTTTTTATCAAAAACCCTGCCTGACCTACGTTAGTGCTCAGAATATGTGTTGGGGATCAGCCTCAGCTACTACCACACCAGATTTTAGCTCAACATCTGTGCAATTTTTAAAGTTATTGACATGTTTGTGTTTGGAAAAGTCAGTTTAGCTGTGACAGCCWTCTTGAATAATCAGTTTATAATCAGAGCGTTAAATTAAYATCCGTCCACTCGTGAGATAATTAGCCAGTTTCGGCTACTACCACACCAGGTTTTAGCTGATTGTCAGTGAAATTAACTAAAGCACAGCCTCAGCAGGACCACTAAAACTGAAGCAGTCAAATGAAARTGAGCACAGGTCTTTTCAAAATAAAAGTTCTTCATGTTTAGCCTCTGAGAAAAGCTGCTTCAGGTCTACTTGGTGTATTTGAGCAGAGTTGGACCCAGAACCAGTTCTGCAGCAGGAATAAAGTCCAGCAGTGACCTGCCTCGCCTCGCCTCGCCAACATTTGTTCCACCTTTACAGAAGTATTCTTCAGGTAAATATCAGGTGTTAGCCCCGGCCCTTGTTCCTGTATGATAGTCGGACCTTCAAACCCTTTGCTCGGCCCGCTCAGGAGCGTTTGGCCTCAGATGTTTACACCCACCCTCAGCCCTTCATAACCTGAAACTCCCTGGCGTTTCAGCATCACCGCCACACTAACCCCCCGTCAATATCCACCATCTTTAAACAGCCGTCCCCTTTACGTTAACACCACTCCTCCACGGTAACACCTTAATTCTGCCCTCATTCCACCGCTGCATCACGGAGAAATATGTTTCAAATGCTGCTGTAATCCTCCGAGAAGGAGAGGAGAGAAAGCACTCCATGCTGGAGGATCACCCCCCACCCTCGTTGCTTGCCTATCCCTTGTTCCCTCTTCTCATCTCTCAGGGATTATCTTCCTCGGCAGCCGGGGTTTCTGGGAAATATTAGACCGAGGTGGTGGTGGTGGGGGGGTTTCTTCCTGAAAGCGCCAACCCATATGGCAGCTGGAGTATCCTGCTTTTTATTGAGTTCATATCAGGTAATTACAGGTTATTACAGTTTATTAAACTCACCTGGTGCCGCCCGGCCCGAGCACCACCACTCTCTGATGGGGGCCGGAATAAACGTTGGTTTGATTCTCACACATTTACTCTCAATCACTTAAAGATTAAACATCAAACGTTACCTTTCTGACAGAAACAGGATGTGGAGAAATATCAGTGATCTGTGCAGCAACTTCCACTACTTTTACTGTAAATAATCTTAGAAACTTTCCTCAGTAAATATCGAAGGATAACAATAAAACTGAACAACACAAAATAAAAAAATAGTAATAATCTTAGAAAAACTGTCTACTGTTCAGGTTATTGTGGTTATAGTAGCCCAGGGCTATTCATCTAAATGTTCCAGGGGCCACAGTTACTGCAGGTCAACAGCTCAGTGGCCAAACATCCAGCAATTAAAGTTATTATGTAAATAAAACAAGAATTACAAAGATCTGTTACCTTTCAAATAGTTTATTTTGCTGCATTTAATCATGAATACAACATACAGAACTCCATAAAAGTAGTGGTAATTAAACAATATCAAAAACAAAAAGAACACATTCTGCCTCTTAAGACAATATCATTTTAACATCTCTGACTTCACAAATTTTTAAATCTATTTTATTTTCACTTTCATGGTTTTATCTTCAACTGATTYCAATTTTAACTYTCTTTAGTGTGCATAGAAATGGTTTTTACCAGCTTGTAGCCAAGATTCTGACGTTTCTGTAGATACCAAACATGTCTCTAGCTGCGTTTCCATTGACCATGAAAATGCGCAAATTAGAATTTCGAAAATAAATTTGCTCAATGGAAACACGTCAATTTTGAAAAAAATTACATTTTTCGACAAAATATTTTTGCGCTAGGATGAGGTGGTTTTTTGGCCATATCGAAATTGGTGTTTTTCGCTAAACTGCAATGGAAACACTTTTTTCGCATCACAGGAGTCACGTGATCAACAACCGACTGTTTCTACTGGTGAAAAAGACGATGATGAAGAAGACAAAAGGAAGTAGAAGTAGTAGTAATATCACAGAAGTAGTATAAAGTAGTAAACTCACCGACTACAATTTCCCAAAAACACAGCATACGTAGCCGCTCCCAAGTAGGGACTTGTCTCTGGAAATCCTCGTTAAAAGATGCCGACGTCTCCTCTGTTGATGAGCGCTAGTGCCGCGGTAGCAACATGCTATGTGTTTACATCCATTGCCACCATGTTTGTAATGACTTATTGTGAGAACAAACGTATTCACGTGACTTTAATAGCATTTCTTACTTAATGGAAAAACCGCAGTTGCGAAACTGTGTTTTTTCGACATTAATAGAATATCGACAAAGTTTTGCGCACATTTGCAATGGAAACYCAGCTTATGTTTAACTAAAAGAACTTAGAGTAATTAAAGTTGAAAACCTGGGTTTGGGCTTAAGAGATGAAGGAACCAACTGACGGTCCAAACTTTGGTCACTCATGGGCCAGATGTGGCCCGCGAGCCGCCAGTTGAATAGCCCTGCTGTAGTCACTCACCTGTCCGTCACTTCCTGACTGAAAAATAAGCCAAAAAGACGAGGGCTGTGTGAAAACTCTTCACCGTGTTTTTAAAGGTTCTGAACCGTGAGCAGCAGTGGGTGTGAATTTTTATGCTCCTCTTGTTTTTATGTCAGACATATGATGAAGTAAAGAATCGTTGCTTCTAGTTTTTCTGTTTCTTCAGCTGAAATGTAACGTTTGTTCTGTGATTTGAACATTAAAAATCTCCAAAAACTATCAAACTTTAACTGAATGTGAAAAAACCATTCAGGTTTAAACTTGTCTGAGCTGCATAGATACAAAAAAATCATGAGTTTCACCATAACTCTCTTGACTACGGGGAAATTTATCTGCGTTTTTTTTTTTTTGCTAATTTTTTTCTATGATTTGATCCTGCTACCAAAACTCACATCACTTTATTATCAACCAAAAAGTATCTTGTGATAAAATAAAATGTCCATTTAAAAAACAGACCCACCAGATCAGCAAGTCTCGGGTCTTGTGACATATAAACCAGGTTTTAGACTTCAAAGTTCTTCTGGTTCTCTTTAGCTGGATGAGTTTTTCAGTATCGCCACCTGGTGTTCCAGAGGAGAACTGCAGCGATCAGAAATTATAGAGATGACTCGGCTTCACTTCTCTCTGGTTCTGTGTCTCTGCAGTGGAAACGACTAGAAGAGGACTTACTCCACCTGAAACACCAGAGGATGACCCAGGTACCACCTCACCCAGTCTGTAGGACTGGGAACCAGTCTGTAGGACTGAGCTTTATACTAAACCTGATGGGAAAGCTCCTGTTGGTCTGAGGTGTTCATCCGTCCATCCATCCATCCATCCTTCCATCCATCCATCCATCCATCCATCCATCCTTCCATCCATCCTTCCATCCATCCATCCATCCTTCCATCCATCCATCCATCCACCCATTAATCAATCATCCATCCATTAATCAATCATCCATCCATCCATCCATTAATCAATCCATTCATCCATTCATCCATCCATCCATCCACCCATTAAACAATCCATCCATCCATCCATCCATCCATTCATCCATAAATCAATCAATCAATCCATTCATCCATCCATCCATCCACCCATTAAACAATCCATCCATCCATCCATCCATCCATTCATCCATAAATCAATCCATTCATCCATTCATCCATCCATCCATCCACCCATTAAACAATCCATCCATCCATCCATCCATCCATTCATCCATAAATCAATCAATCAATCCATTCATCCATCCATCCATCCACCCATTAAACAATCCATCCATCCATCCATCCATCCATTCATCCATCCATCCATCCATCCACCCATTAAACAATCAATCCATCCATCCATCCATCATCCATCCATCCATTAATCCATCCATTCTTCCATCCATCCATCCATCCACCCATTAAACAATCCATCCATCCATCCATCCATCCATCCACCCATTAAACAATTCATCCATCCATCCATCCATCCATCCACCCATTAAACAATCCATCCGTCATCCCTCCCTCTCTTACTTGACAGTTTTCAGGAGCAACATCTCAAACCTCAGTTCCTCCTTCAGCTCCATCAGTGGAACATCTGCAGGAGTTGTGAGGCCAGCTGAATATAGGTTTGATGATGATACTAGTGTAGAGTCAGTCATTCAGGACAGATAAATGATAAAACAGATTTTAACCTTATCTTTTTTATTTTTTATAGTAGTCTGTTTTTAAAGAAGACAGAAAACATGTTAAGTTGAACTGTTACTTTACTTGAATAAAATGTATTTTGGTAATATTACATCATCTGCTGATTGATTCCCAACATTAATCTTTATTTGTCTTTAACTGAAAGATTAACTCATTATTTTCTCTCATTAGTAACTTGTTTATTTGTTCATTAGTAACTTGTTTATTTGTTCTATGTTAAAAATTTAATCATTTGTAAGTTGTTGTTTGATTCCAACATCATATTTTCATTAGAATCAGTAAAACCTCCAGTAAATTTTGTTCCCGCTGCGCTGCCTGCATCTTTTTTCTTTCTTTTTTTT